TGGGCAAGCGGCAGCGGTCGGCCCTGCGCGACTGCAAGGAGCAGATTAATGACTCCCTGGAGCAGCTGCAGAGGAGCCTGGAGGAGCTGCAGCACCTGCGGGCCGAGACCTTCCGGTGGCAGATGAGCAACGCCCAGACGTGGGTCAGCGCCGCCCTCACCGACGGCGACACCTGTCTCGATGGCTTCGACGGGAACGCCAGGCCCGACCTCAAGCGCAGGGTTACAGATGTCGCTAGAGTCACTAGCAATGCTTTGTACATGATCAATCGCCTCGGTCAAACTGGGAAGCCCAGGCCCAGGCCCAGGCCCAGCCCCAAGAATTGATCATGCAAAGAACAATGTCGGAAGTGGAGTTGCTTGGTCAAGTTCAAGTAGTATAGTACGTGAAGACTGTGATGTCTATTGTCTAGTTAACTAATTAGGTAACCACCGTTTTTTTTTTTTTTTTTTTTTTTTTTTTTTCTGTTTCTTGCCGCAAATAAAATGAGATAACTATATTACTACTCTGCACTCTGCGGTCAGTGCGCTGTATTGTTATTATTCCTTTCTTTAAATATCGTCTCCTCCTCTTAATTTATGACTAGTGTGACAGAATTAAAAAGGTTTAATTACTTTTTTTTTTTATCTCCTTGAAATTTTAATTTATTTCATTTTTTATTATTAAAAATTATTTTTTTAAAAATATATAATGTTGGTCTTTTTAGCTAATAAAGATTACCGAGGTTAATTTTTACTACACTGTGCAATAAAAAAATGACACAGACTTCGCATGTATATAAGTAATTATTGTCGTTAATTTAAATTTAATATAGGGAATAATATTTTATTATTTATAAAAATTAAAATATTAGATTTAATATTTTAAATTTGAAAATCAAATTAAATTAATAAAAAAACCAATTGAAACACAATTTAGTCTTTAAATAAATGAAATTTTTAATTTTTTTTACATCAAGAAATTTTTAATATTTAAACAATACTACAACAATGTAAATGTATTGTCAATAATAAATTGACTATTACTTTGGTGCATCTTATACATAACATGTTTTGATGTTTTAATACTATTGTAAAATACAACAACGTAAATGCATTATAAACAATAAATTAGCAATTACTTCCGAGCATACACATAATATGTTGTAGTGTCTTCACTGTTAATTTGTTATTGGTTAATGATATAAGGGATAAGGGATGTATTTAATTGACACGTTATTTAATATGATTATATTTTTTATATTGTAATTAATTTCTTATAATCTATTTTTTTTTATTAAAATTTTATTTTTCTCTTTTTTAATCCATGCAAAAATTAAATAATTTTTTTCACAACTAATTATTTTTAAGGTTAAAAATCTAATTTAGTCCCTTATTATAATTGTTTGTTTCAATTTAGTCCTACTTTAATTTTTTGTCTCAATTTGGTTCCTAATAAATTAAATTGTTGCAATGTCGGACTTCCGTCCAAATTATTTAAACGGAGTTAACTGTTGGCCACGTGAATGCCACGTGAATGCATAGGTGGATGCCAAATTTTTTTTAATGCATCTGGAACTAGAACGGCCCGTTCTGAAACTAGAATGACCCGTTATAATTGCACTCTTGGTGTGTTAATTTTGCACATAGAACGGGTCGTTCCAGGTCCAAAATTAATACACAAAAAGTGCAACCAGAATGGGCCATTCTAGTTCAGAATGTCAAACACAAACGATCGATGATTATAGTTTACGGTTGTGAATCGTGCAAGGAAAAAGACCCAAGGTACAAAGAATTTCAAATACTAGATTTGGTAATATTGTCAATGAGGATTGATAACTTCAATTGCTAAACATTTGGGCTATACAATGTATCATTAAGGACAATGCAGTGTATCACTAGGACAATGGTAGCAAGTTTAATTTCATTGTTAGTCAAACTGAAGTGAACCACTTACTACCAAATTGACACTATACAGTCAAGGATGAAACGACATGGTGTTTTCCTTTGAAGTCGTTAACCGATGTACCCCAACAACAACAACAACCTGTTCTTAAGGAGGTACAACCTAAAGTAAAGGAAGAGGATACACAAGACAAACATTTCACCACACAACCACATGTACAGGTAGATAATGTTGATATTTTATCAGTCATTCAGTGTTATATGGTGGATAAGATGTATTATTGACACCTTCAGCGTTATCCAGATGATTTCCCTTCTCAAAAATTTCTTTGAACTTTTTTAGTATATGTTATGTTATGTTATGAATTTCATTACAAGAAAAATGCTGATTTCCGACGGAAATTTCTGACGGAAATAGGTAAATTTCCGACGAATTTTGCTTTTTCCGACGGATTGTAATCCGTCGGAAAAAGTGGCGTCGGAAAAAAAAATCCGTCGGAAATAATTTTTTTGACAGAATTTTCCGACAGAAAATTCCGTCAAAAAATTCTGTCGGAAATTTCTGACGGAAAAATTCGTCAGAAATTTCTGACGGAAAAATCCGTCAGAAATTGCTGTCAAATTTTCCGATGGAAAAATCTGTCAGAAATTATAATTTTTTTTTTAATTTTAATAAATCTATTAATGTAACAACTCTCATATTTGGTCTCTCAAGGGT